ACGCAGGTGGCAGACTGTCTTGCGGTAGTGCAGGCAAGTAATTTTGGGAAATATCTGGGCCTCCCATCGTTTGTGGGCAGAAATAAAAGAGCAGTTTTTTCCTATGTGGAGGAAAAGATCAGGCAGAGGATTGGATCGTGGAGCACAAAGTTATTATCTCAGGCTGGTAAGGAAGTTTTATTGAAAAGTGTGGCTCAATCTATGCCAACTTTTTCAATGAGTGTTTTTTTGTTGCCTGAAACAGTTTGTCAATCCATTGAGAGAGCCATGAATAGATACTGGTGGGGAAGTGGCAGAGATAAGGGGATTCACTGGAAGGCATGGGATAAGTTATGTATCCCCAAGAAGTTTGGTGGTTTGGGTTTTAAGGAATTGAGGGCTTTTAATCTAGTTATGCTGGGCAAGCAGGCATGGCATTTTTTGACAAACCCAGAGTCTCTGGTGGCAAGAATATATAAAGCCAGGTATTACCCCACTTCTAGTTTTGTTGATGCTACTATTGGTAATTGCCCAAGTTTTTGTTGGAGAAGTATAATGGCAGCGCATCCAATAGTGGTAGCTGGGATAAGACGCAGGATTGGAAATGGTGAGACAACTCTTATTTGGGGACACCCATGGCTACAGGATAATCCAAGTCCCTTGGTACAAACAATTATGCCTGAGGAGTTGAGAGAGACACGAGTAGCAGGTTTGATTGACCCACAAACACAAACATGGGATCCACATATTTTATCTGATTTATTTATCCCTGAGGATGTGAGCAGAATAGTTATGATTCCTGTTAGCCCTGATTATGATGACTCATGGTACTGGATAGGTGACCCAAAAGGAATTTATTCAGTAAAGAATGCTTACAGGCGTATTGTTGGTGATTATGAGAATAACCCAGGTGATTTTGATAAATGGGTTAAGATGTGGAAATTGAAAGTACCACCAAAATGGAAGACTTTTTTGTGGAGAGCAATATGTGATATTTTACCCACTACCACGAATCTAATTAATGAGAGGGTGGAGATTGACCCGACATGTCCTATGTGCAGATTTAATAATGAAGATGTGTTGCATGCATTAGTTTATTGGGAATGTTCTGCATTAGTTTGGAATATAACACAATTACCTATCACGAATATTATTACAGATTCATTTGCAGCATGGTTAACTGGGGCTATGACGATTCTAACCGAGGAACAAACACAGCTTTTGGTGGGAGTTCTATACAATATTTGGAGAAGCCGCAATGCAGCCGTGTGAGAAGGGGCCATGTCACGGTCGCAGGCTGTTGTGAAGGGGGCGGCAACATTGCTGAAAGCCTATGGGGCGGTACACGGTCGTTCCACGCGAGAAGATGTACAGCCACATTCCGAACCAGTGTTGTCCAACAATCACATGCGATGCTATATAGATGCGGGGTATCGGCAGGAAACCGGGGAGGCTACGTATGGAATTGTGTTATTAGAGCCCGGTGGCTCGTTTGTGGCAGCTAAGAATGGCAGATCACCCGTTTGTTTTTCACCACTCATGGCGGAGGCTATGGCTTTTAAAGAGACACTGTCCTGGTTAGTTGAAAGGAGTATTAATTCGGCCAATCTGCTCACGGATTGTATGGTTCTGCGATCCACCATAAATCACCAAATTACACCCATTCACTCGTATGTTGGGTTGATAATTGACCAGTGCAAGACAATGATGTCTTTATTTAATTTTATTTCGTTAAGCTATGTGCCTAGACAGATTAATTTACATGCTCATACTTTAGCTTCGTTAGCTTTTACTCAGGAACGTTCTATGTATTGGGATTCTATCCCTCCTGACGCTATTATAACTTTCATCAATTAATACAATCGACAGATTGATTTTTCAAAAAAAATGTTTCGATTCTAAATTGTAATCAGAATATTTAAGTTTGGTTGCTATAGTGTCTATTCAGTTTGAACCAAATCGTGGTCATAATTTGTTAAAGAAGAAAAATATGAAATATTTATTTTAAGGGTAAATATATCCATTTAACATATTAGAGGGAAAAACTGCAACTTTAATAATTTAGAAGGAAAAAGTGTTATAAGTATATAACTCAGTGAAAAAAAGTACTATTTTTCCTAAATATAAATCTATCTCAATCAATCTAACCTTCATTTTTAAATTCCAACTAAAAAAATTAATATACTTACATATAATATTTGTAATATATTTATTAAAATTTTATTTAAAAAAATTAAAGTATGTTATGTTCCACATCTCTAGAAAAATGTCATGTCAAGATCGAAGAGATTAGACTTGCTCTTTTTAAACATACAAATTTTATTCACTAATATTATTAAAATTTGAATTATGAATAGGTTGAATCAATTCTAGACATCCAAACATCACACGCAAAATCGTATGGAGTATATATAAATAAATTAAATTAAGCATAAAGGATGTTCAACGCACACATACACCGACTGCTCTTCAGCAGAAAAGTTGGAAAAGTTTAAGTTGTAGGTTACACATGAACAGCATTAATCAACAGTTTTGCATGAATAAAAACTAGAGATTACAACTTTACACAAAGAGCCACTTTAATCTTACACAACAATAAGTCAATAAGAAACTATAGTTATGTCTCTTCAAATTAGTTTCAGAGAGAGGGCCAAAAGAGAGTGTGTTGGGGCAGGTGAAGGTGGGTTGTAAGTTAATTTTTCCCAGACTTTTCATGGGAAATAACTTTGCATCATGGTACAACAGGCTTGCTATCCCAGGCCTCCCTTACTTCAATTAAGGAGGGACAGTATCTTTTGGCTAGGACTTCAACATGTTCTGAAAAGGGTTTGCTCCCATGGTTCCCTATGTGAAGAACCATTTGCTTCCACCGCTTCAGACATAATTCTCCGGACCTATGTTCCAGCAGATTATCCCAGTCCACATTTTCTATGCAGGTTGCATCCAAGGTATAAAGTGCACCAATTAGGCGATAATCATCAGAATCAGACCATATACCTTCAGCTACCATAGGTGATGTCAAGTTATAGTACCACTTCTGACAACAATGTGGAATAGTACGCGTAGACAACTTATCACTAATTGCGGTCCAACAAATGTTATCCCGTAGCATACCATGCCTGGATCTCTTCTCTTCAAATATCCTCAATTGCAGATCAGTGTTCACTAAATCAAATAAGTTCTGGTACTCATCATGAGACCAGGGCCCTTTCTTCAAGTTAGGTAAGTATATCCTGCGCCATGTTTCCCTCACATGACACATATATCTGCCAAGTTTGTCAGCAAGTGATTTAAACTCATTCCCATTCAATTTCACGTGCTCCAGTATCAAAGCTTTTTCTTCTTCAGTCCATTTTCGGTTTTCAGATCGTCGAAATAATATTTGAGCACGACTATAGACTGCCTTGTGAGGCCTATTTGGTATGGCAGCTCCTATTTCCTTCCAGCAGTTTTTTACTTCAGGGTGAGATTTACAATTTAAAACCATATCCAAACCTTCCTCGCCTAAATTATGTCTCTATGTACTTGAAAACAGTTTGTTTAATTATCTCATCTTCTATTTTAGAGAACCGCTTACCTCGAATCAACCCCACTACTTCATTTTGACATTTCCCAATCTCAGGAACATTAGACTCGGGAAATACCTTCAACTCATTGGAAAACCTCACTTTCTTCTTGCTATTTTTCCGTTTTGGATCTTTAGAACTATCTTTGACCTGTTTCCAGCTAATATTATCATTTCCCTCTCCACTAGCCTGTGTTTCATTTACACTAAAGTCTGCAATGCCTTCAGCACATGTAAGACCTGTAGCCACATCTACTGATCCTTGGTCATCCTCCCCCTTTTCCTTCTTGTTCTTTTTCTTCTTCCTTTTAAATTTCTCCATTTTACCCTCAGTGCAACCATCAGTGATTGTTTTTGCCTTCTTTTCATGTCTCCTTTTGCTTTCAAGCATCTCAGTTGCAGTTGAATTTACATAACCTCTATTGTGTACAGAAACATCATTTGCAGTATCTTGGGACACAGCATGTGACTCATTGTTATTGCTTTGAACCTCTCTTTCCCTTTTTTTCTTTTCTGCTTTCTCAACAGTAATTCCATTAGTATCCTCCATAAGTGCTCTCCTTTTATTATCTCCGGCAGATTTCTTCTTTTTCTTCATTCTTTCAACACCTTCATTATCACTCTTCATTTTTGTCTCTTCCTCAAAGCTTGTATCTCCCTCAACTCCCACATCCTTCACAATATAAACAGGATTGACAGCTAACATATCATTGTTCCTCTTTTTCCTTTTCTTAGACTTTTCTGATTTCTTTAGAGCACCCACCACTTCATCTTCTACAGCCATGACCATACCAGTAGCTTATTATTGCCAAGTTCCACTAGTAGCAAGTTAACTATTAAATAATGAAATAGGAAATCAAACCCAAAACTAAGGCATTCCAAAATCATTTTGTGCAATATGCTTGGATGCTCCGGTGGAAGGAGCTCGCATCCCATGTGGCCATATGGTTGGTTGTCTGAACTAAATCAAGGCCAAGATTTGGGGTTGTCCTGTTTGTTGTGCAAAGATTGATCAACTGATAAGGCTATACGCTGTCCGATTATTGAAATATTGTTTGGCAAAGCTGTAAATGTTGAGGCTGATTGGAACTCTATTCATTCTTTTACCTATAAAAAGAAAAGGTAGAAGTTGGAAAGAATGCTTAGCTTATTCTGCAGTTTCTACAACCACTCTCAAAATTATGATTTATGAAGGCAAAATGGAATTAGAACAGTTAAAAAAAGAAAAAATAAAAAACACTATATATTTGTTCATTAAGGAAAATAGCAAGGTATGGCAGAAAACTTCACGACTGTTCATACTTGGCAGCAAAGCTCATGACTGTTGCAGGTGGATGGTTTGTTAACAGGCCTTGCCCTAAAAGCTTCCATCCCTTAACTCAAATTAGTACATCATAAGATGAAATTCCTAATGTGCAATTATCTTAACAAACTCAATGAGGGGTTTAATCTACAATATCATTAAGAAATTAGTAAGCCATTACATGAATAATAACAGAAAAATCATCAGAAATTAGACCCAAGAAATTCACTGGCAAAGATAGTGAGGTATTCAAGGTCCTGAAATCAATCAATTTACTAAATAAATTCTGGCATGCAAAGGGCTTCAGGCAAATAATAAGTTTAATCTAAATACATCCATTTTTCAGAATAAGTCTCGGTGAAGTACTCAATATTTCAGCTCATCTAAAAGTCAAGAAGATGAAATATGTATCCAGAACATGTAATTTAATTCAAGTTCAAGCACTAATACTTAGAAAATGAAGCAAACTGCAAACCATTGACTAGTGAACATCACCACTGGATTTTCAATCATTTCAACTAACCTAATTCCAGTTAAGTGTTATCCTGCATCTTCCTCTACTACAAAACCGATCGACAACAGATTTTTACCAAATGAAAACATAGAAACATATGCATTGGTCGAATTGTGCTAAGGGTTTAGAGGAATTACCGGAAATAGAAACGGAGAAACGAGGTAGTGACGTCAGAGGAGGTCTACGACGAAGGATGTAGCTGGAAGCTATTGAGGGCGACGACGATGTCGGCTACTGTTAAGTGGCGGCAACGACGTCAGCTGCTGCTAGGCGGCGGTGATTTCGTTGCTGCAAGGTGGTGACGACGATGGCGGCTGCTGCTAAGCGGCGGCGATGATGTCGGATGCCTAGGTTTTATATAGGATTATGCTTAGGTGAGATAAAATGTGAATAACCCTTAAAAAGTGGTCATATGTTATAATATAGTTAAGTGTGGGCATTATTAGTTGATTATTAGTCAAATGCACTGTCAGGTCAGGCTGTGAGGGCCCTTAGGATTGGAGTTTAGCATTTTGGAAGAATTATTAGTTGATTATGTAATTGATATAACGGTCGTATTTATGTCTATTATTATTAGTTTTTGTTATAAATGTATATTATATATATGTATTGTTGTAATATGTAATGTAACAATGAATGAAAGTTTCTCCCTCTTTTTCCAGTATTACTTTGAGCATTAGGTTACAACACGTTATCGACACTTTGCTCTACATCTTCTGTGAACCAAATATCCACTGATCCAATGTATTTACATGTGCTTTGTTTCCCCATTCTCGCGGTGCTGCATTCCCTGCCGGTGCTGTTCTCATAGGTGGAGTAAGCAACGGAGGCACATCAGCCTCCCGATCGAAAATCTTCTCAAACGAAAATCAAAGAAAAAATGCGTATGTTGGGGATGAAGCGCGGCGATTCCGAATCCCCTTTCTCTATCAACCCACTTTGTTTGTCGGAAAGTGGCGGCTGCGGACTGTCTCCCGGAATTGGCGCAGGCATCCGATCATCGGCCAATCGGAAACGGGTGTTGAGCAAATATCAAGAAAGGCAACTCGCGGCTTCAATTTAATACTATGCAGTTTGCTGAAAAATTGTTTAGAGAAGAGAATCTATTAAAGGTCTACGAAAACGATTCACTCACCAGTAAAAGCTAAGTATCTTATGCTTTTGGTACTTTAACAGATTGCACATATATTTACATATTTTTATGCTTCATAAAATCATATATTTGCTTTGCCTGTGCAATATTCATGATAATCTTGATATGAAACTTGTTGTGTCAATGATTGAGTCATTCTCTATACTGATATCTGGAATCTAGTTTGAATGCTGCCATGAATTTTAAGGAAAATATCATGAATGCTAATTTGTGAATAGAAATAATTTTATATATCATGCGAATGTTGTGAGTAATATAATTGTGAATCATACTATTTTGAAGAACTGTCATCTGGTTGAGAGTGACAAATTTGAGCCTTTCCTTTAATTTCCTCAATCTCACACATTTGTTTGTCTGATTTTGCTTGTAATCTATAGCTTTGTCCAAATAATATATATTGAGAAAGATAGATTATCCAATGAAGCAATATATATAATGGATGCATAGTAAAACCAGGAAGGCTAATGCAATCCCTCATACTCTTATTCTCATGGTTCATATGTCTGGGATTTGACTTGCTTTTGCAAATGCTAATCATATACTTCATAGCATGCAAGTCATAATATAGTAGACACATTTTTCTTTGTGAAATCAACAAAGTAGTATATTGCTCATCAAGGAGCTTGCTAGACCTTGTTCTGCACTAAAAGCTAAGTATCTATGTCTATTTCCTGCATGATATATACATGGATTTTGATATTTTCGGGCACTTAGAGTATACCATACATATGCATAATATAAACTTGTTATCAAAGTGAGATAAATTGTCTTGGCACACTGCTTATATTTGTATCATTTGTATCCTGAAGTATGCAGATTTTGTATAGCTTTCTTTCATAAACTCTCATTACTTGTTTATGTAAGGTATTGATTGATGATATTGATAATTGTTGCTGCTTAGTTGAAAGAGTTTTTTGCACTTTTGGTCCCACGACTATAGTGGCACTAGCAGAATTGATCCACGACTTTTGAACCTTGCAATTTTAGTCCACGACTATTGATTTTTTGCAAAAATGGTCCTTCCGGCCCCTTTTCCGTCAAAATTCCACCGGATTTTTTTTTTATCCATTTTTAACAGGGCTAAAATTGATATTTTACTTATCTCAAAATATAAAGGAAATACATAAAACGGAAAGGTAAAAGTGATTGCATTTGAGAATCTCCGCCGCTTCTCTCGCCGGAAATCTATACAACGAAGCTTTTCCGATGTCTTCGGATGATCCCGCAGGCGTGCTGGCTCCGCCTCCAATGCTGCTGCCGGATAACCCAACTAGCCCGGGGAACGCCACGGCCGCTCCGCCGCTTACTGACAGCCCTACCTGCTCCAGGAACTCCGCTGCCTGGGGCAGTAGTATGTAGCCCAGTAATATTGTATGTAGTCAAATGTCAATTTTTTTCTTTTATTTTTTGAGATAAGTAAAATGTCAATTTTAGCCCTGTTAAAAATGGATAAAAAAAAATTTCCGGTGGAATTTTGACTGAAAAGTGGCCGGAAGGACCATTTTTGCAAAAAAATCAATAGTCGTGGACTAAAATTGCAAGGTTCAAAAGTCGTGGATCAATTCTGCTAGTGCCACTATAGTCGTGGGACCAAAAGTGCAAAAAACTCTTAGTTGAAATATGAGGTGTGGTGATGATCAAGTTTTCAATGGCTTCCATGCCTATTTAACGCCTTTCGCTACATGCCATCCAAAACTTTTATAAGTACTTCGTTAGAATGCACCTCTTGAGTATTAAATTTATTTGAAAAATTCTGATCAGCATAGCTTGAAAATTAAATTCGTGAAAAATACATGTTGAACTTCTTTTGGCTTGAAATTTTTTCTGGAGAACCTAGACTTGTGGTATTTGATGTTTGTATAAAGATTTTGTTAAAAATATGCTTTGGTTGTTCCAAAAAAATTCTGTAAACTATTGGCAGTGTGCTGCCAGTAAATTTTCAGCCTGGCGCAATGTTGGAAATTTTTTTGGGAAAAATACTTCCAGACCTTGGATTCGCATGAAAATTTTTGTGTACAATCTAGACTTGATGTACTTCTTATCTGCAAAATTTTGTGTTAAAATGTGTTACCGTTCCTCCCCCCCCCCCCCCCCCCCCCAAGAAAATTCAGCAATCCAAGTCAAAATTCTGAAAATTTCTGTTGTTTTCAGCTATATCTTGCTATTTTGTAATGTTTTCATGCTTGTATGAAACTATGAGATAAAATGAGAGCTTGCTTGGAAAAGTAGGTTGCACTTGTCGTTGCTAAGCCTTAGCTTGCATGTGATAACAATTAAAGGTTATGACTTGTTTACCGTACTAGTTTATGCTATAGAAACTCTTTGACATGAGATTTGTGTATATGATATTTAAATTTATAGCCTTCATTTTTTTTTTTTTTTGTATATTTATTTGCCCAGAAGGTAGATTAAGAACTTTAATTCTCCAAGTCACCTTTTAGGATGAACCTTCACAATGAATTCGTGACCAAAAATGGTCCACCTATCCCATCAATCCCTGAAGGATTGCTACGATGTTACTATGAGTCAGTTTTTTTTTTTTTTTTTACCCAAATCTAACTCACTGCATATCGCAATTATACCCTCTTTTAGGCATGACCACGGTTCGGTTCGAATTGAATCGTGCACTGTTGAACAGGAATCAGAACCAAATAGTTCGTACGGTTCCGGTTTCGGTTCCTAATCGGAACCAATATGGTTCCGGTTAAGGTTCGAGGTGAAAAGGAACCGGAACCGCCGGTTCCGGTTCCAAACCGGAAAAAATTAAAAATTATAGCTTATTTTATTTAATTTTTAAATAAATCTTGTTAGACCCGGCGGTTCCAACCGGAAACGGAACCAAAACCTTACTATAAGATTTCGGTTCCGGTTTGTCCATTTGCGGAACCGAAACCGGAACTGCGATCACCCTTACCCTCTTTTTCACCTAGTACGTGGTTTCAGAAGTAACATTTCCCTATCTGCGTTAATTTTAGCGTGCAGTCTATTTTTATATATCACCACCACAACGTACCTCTAAAAGGGCTATCAAAGAAACCTCCATCTATCGATTAAATATCGAAAGCCCATGATAGGGGATCAATACATATAATTGGGTACGTTGACTGCATTCCTAATGAAGATTATTTCTCGGCATTAGGGGGAGATAATATACTAACTTTTAATAGAATGTCAAGAAATTTCATAGAACGAAAACATCTTTATTATTTAAATCCATGTACTAGTTAGACTGAACTAGAAGTTCAAAAGATAACTTATTTGCAATTTTAGCAAATAATCTGCCAAACATACCTATGGATCATAATGATCATAAAAGAGTGGCTAGGGCCCATATACCTTCCCCAAACTTGGACCAAACATATCTACCGATATAATACTCATTGACACTAGAAGTGTAGGAGATCTATCAATGAAAGAGATATGAATCATAATACTAGATCTAGTAAAGAAACATTGTCACTCTTGAAATAGCTTAAATAATTATGTCCTGCAGACGTTCATCCAGATGACGAAAAATCCTAGTAAAATTATCGGTGCACCAAACAAACATTATACTAGGGATGCGGAACGACTAGATCAAAATATTT